TAAAATATATAGAGAACTAAGGCAAATTTTTAAGAATATAAGTCATTCCCCAATTGATAAATGGTCAAAGGATATGAACAGGCAGTTTTCAGATGAAGAAATTAAAGCTATTTGTAGTCACATGAAAAAATGCTCTAAATCACTATTGATTAGAGAAATGCAAATCAAAACAACTCTGAGGTACCACATCACACCTATCAGATTGGCTAACATGACAAAACAGGACAATGATACATGTCGGAGAAAATGTGGGAAAATTGAAACATTAATGCATTGCTAATGGAATTATGAACTGATCCAACCATTTTGGAGAGCAATGGTACTACGCCCAAAGGGCTATAAAAATGTGCATACCCTTTGACCCTGCAACAGTACTTTTAGGACTATATCCCAAAGAGATCATAAAAATGGGAAAAAGACCCACATGTACAAAAATATTTATAACAGCTCTTTCTGTAGTGGCAAAGAACTGGAAATTGGAAATTCAAATTGGAACTGAAATCAATTGGGGAATAGCTGAACAAATTGTGGTATATGAATCTAACGGAATACTTTTGTGCTATAAGAAATGACGAGCAGGCAGACTTCAAAAAAAAAAAAAACCTGGAAAGACTTACATGAACTGATGCAGAGTGAAATCAGGAGACCATTGTATAAAGTAACAGCCACACTGTGTGATGACTAACATTGTTAAACTTGGCTCTTCGTGGCAATGCAAGAATCTATGACATCTCCAAAAGTCTCATGATGGAAAATGCTATCCACATCCACAGAAAGAATTATGGAGTTTGAATGCAGATCGAAGCATACTATTTGATCTTTTTTCCTTCTGTTTTTGTTTTGTTTTGTTTTGTTTCTTCTTTCTTGTGGTTCCTCCTATTGGTTCTAATTCTTCTTTACAACATGATTAATGTGAAAATATGTTTAATAGGAATGTATATGTAGAACCTATATCAGATTGCGTGCTGTCTCGGGGAGGGAGATGGGAAGGTAGGGGAAGAAAATTTAAAACCTAAAAGTTTATGGAAGTGATTATCGTAAACTAAAAATAAATAAATTAAAATTTTAAAAAATAGGATCAATTCAACAGAAAGATGAAAAGGAGAATATAAAGCTGAAAAAATTGATGGGAAAATTAGACTTAACTAATTTATGGCCACTTCTGAATGGGAATATTAAGAAATGCAAATATTTATCAGCATCTTCTTACAAAAGGGATCATGTACCAGGGCACAAAGGAATCGTAAGTTAAAAGGCAGATACAATAAACATTCTTTAAAAGTTATAATACAACAAACATAACTGAAAAAGGAAACATAATATTTAACATACTGAATGAGTCAATAAAAGAAGAAATTATAGACACAATAAATATTTATGTTAAAGACAATGGTAACATAAAATATCAAACCAAAACTCATAGGACGCAACTAAAGCAGTCCTGAGAGGAAAATTTCGAGTTCTGAAAAGTTATACTAATAAAATAGAAAAAAAAGAGGATCAATGAACAAAGCTTGCAGTTAAGAAAACTATAAAATAAAAAGTGGGCAAACCAAAAACAATTACAAAAGAAATCCTGAAAATTACAAGAGAAATAAACTTTAAAAAATAAAACGACCACAGAAAAGATACCAAAAGAAAAATCACTAAACTAGTACATAATCTTATTACCAAAGAGAAATCATGTTACAAAAATAAAAAGTGAGCAAGACAAATTCAAAACAAATTCAAAGTAAAGGAAGAGAATTATCAGAAACTACTATGAACAATTACATGGCAACACAAAGAAAATTTAAAGGAAGTGAGTGAATAGCTAAAACAAAATATTTACACACACACATAAACATACACATATCTATACACACACACACACACACACACACACAGAAAACCAACAAACAAAACGAGAGATTTTAAACAACCCAGTGTCAAAAAAAGAAATAAAGCAAGTCATAAACAAAACTGCTAATGGGGAGGATCAAATGACTTAATAAGTAAATTCTATCAAGTATTTAAAATGCTATGCTACAAAAATTATTCTCACAATTAAAGATAGGCAATACTTGACCAAACTCCATATATAAGAAAAACTATGGTCCTGATACACAAACCAAGGGAGACAAAGTGAAGAAAGAACTATAACCCAGATTTTATTATTGAATACTAATGCAAAATAAAATCTTCTCAAAAAGATTACAGAAATATATCCAGAAAAAAATTCACTATAACCAAGCAGGAGTCATATCAGAGTGGTAAAGATGGTTTAACAATAGGAAAATAATTAGTATAATTAATCATTTAAAAAGACAAACAAGAACCACAAAATTATTTCAATAGCTGCAGAAAAGACCTTTGACAAAATACAGTATTCACTGAACATAAAAAAAGCTTGATGAACATAGATATGGATGGTATGACCCTTCTTTTATATAATTAAAAACTAAGAGCCTTCATTATTTGCAATGGAGAAACATTAGAAGCTTTCATTGCAGAAAAAGGGGTAAAGCAAGGATGCCCCCTTTTCCACTACCATGTTATCATTGGCCTAGAAATGCTAGCTACAACAGGATAACAAAACAAGATTAAAGCTATAAATACCACTAAATAAAAGGCAAAGTTATCCCTATTTGCAGATGACATGGTGATGTACAAAGAAGACCACAGAGACTCAGCAAAGAAACTAAACTGGTTAATCACTTATGTAAATTAGCTGGTTACAAAACAAATCTTCAAAAAAATTAGCATTTCTCTACTACTACTACTACTACTACTACTAGCTAGGATTTAACTGTGTTTTAAGCACATTAAACTGTACCACCTAGCTATCTATTTTACCATATTAGCAAAAAGTCCCACAAAACATATATAAAGTATCTGGAAATTAACCTAAACCCATACACATACACACTACTTACATAAATGCAACTACAACATACTCTTTGCAGAAATAAATGCAGAAGACTTAAATTGGAAAAATTCATGGACCTTGGCTGGACTGTGTCAATACAAAATATAAAAAAAGAACACTACTACGAAAATTTATTTACAGATTTAGTGCTATACAAATTAAATTACCTAGACAAAATAACAAAATTTAGTTGTATGTCCTCTTTTTTGTGTTTAATGATTTCAGCTAATTAAGTTTTATGTTTTCTGAGAGGCATTTTAAGTAGCAAATATATAGATTATTTTGGATTAACCTCTAAATTGAGTATTTTGTCTTGTGTGAATAAAGCCCTAGGATTATGTATCTTCCAGTGAGTGGTTTGGTTTCTTTGCTGCCAACTGTTCTAATATTTCAATTATTTTATTGTAGAAATGTTTCTTTTAAAGCACAGAGTTTTAAGTCTTTGATAAGAATGAGTGAAATAAGCTACGTTTTTATTCATATACTTACTCATTTTTTTCCTTTGAGAATCTAGATCCTTTTTTGTTTTTCCAGCTAAATTTTGTTCAGTGCTGATCTGCTATACACACGTTCTCCTTTGAGTTTCTGTTTTTTCCTCTTTCAAATGCGACTGATCCTTACCAACTCTAAAATTCAATGATCCTACAAAATAAGCAAAAGTTTCTCCTCCTAACTATAGTTGTGAAAGGAAGATTTTTTCATTCTCTAATTTTTTTATAAAAATGATGTCTGACCATTTACGTTCAGGCAATATGTCCCTTTAGAGCTTACTGTGAACATATGATGTAAGACACTGGTCTAATTTCTGTCAACCTGTTCGGGATTCCCCAGAAGTTATTGTCTTAAAGTCCTTCCCTTAGTTAAGAACCAAATTTGTACTACTAATTTCAATTTGCCCTTGCGCTATTTCTGATTATCTCGTCTGTTCCATGAAACTATTTTTATTTTTTTTGTTTTCTTTTTTCAGGCAACTGGGGTTAAGTGACTTGCCCAGGGCCACACAGCTAGTATCAAGTGTTTGGTTTGAGGCCGGATTTGAACTCAGGTCTTCCTGACTTCAGGGCTGGTGCTCTATCCACTGGGCCACCTAGCTGCCCCATTTTTATTTTTCATCAGGGCCAAATAGTTTTGCTTTATTATATAGTTTGAGCTACTGAGGATTGCGGTGAACTGGCTGGCAGGAGGCAACTGGACTGGCTGTGTGACCTTAGACAAATCACAATCTCCCTAGTCTCATGTGATGCAGCACACAGAGTACAAGGCCTGGGGTCAGGAAGACCTGGGTTCACATTTGACCGCACTTACTCACTATGTGACCCTGGACAAGTCACCTCTCCTCAGTTTCCTCATCTATAAAATAGGATGATAACCATACCAGGGTTATTGTGAGCATCAAATGAGATAGTAATTGTAAAGCACTTAGCCCAGTGCATGGGACATAGTAAGCACTATATAAATGTTAAAGTTGATGATTATGAACGAAGATGAAGGCAGACTTACAAGAACCGAGTAAGGTTCCCTCCAACCCTAATATTCTTAATTTATTTAACTGGCCCAGTTCACCGAGCTCCTGCAGTTCAGGGTAAGAAGTAGAAGGCAGGGCTCCGCCAGGTGAGCTCTCATTATCAACAGCCACTTAATAGTTTCATTAATTAGAGAGCTGCTCCCAGAACAGAAGGCAACACCACCACCCGGAAGTTTGGGGCAAGGCAGAGCCAATCACAGCTTGGAGCAAAGGAGCAGTCGTGGCCCCTCCGGGAGCTCGGAAGTGGGGCCAGTTGTCTCTCAGCTACCCCCTCCCCCAGGGCGGCCCCACCCCAGGGCAGAGGGAGGGAGGAGGACCTGGGGACCGAGGCGGCCAGACAGCAGTGGAGGGGACAGAGATGACCAAAGGAGCGCCCCGGACACGCTCTCTACGGCGCCGCCCGCGGCCTGAGCTGAGCATTGGGTCAGGGGCCCGGGACCGGCTCCTGGGCCTGGGCGAGAGAGGTTCCCTCTGGGGTGGTGAGGGTGGCCAGGGCCCAGGCCAGAGCCCATTTCCTGTCTGTACCCCCGGAGTCTCGGAAGGAGGTCCGACGGCCCGGCTACTCACGTTGAACCAGCCTGTCCCCGGTGAAGGTGGAAGAACAGCTGGCGACAAGCGCACAGGGTACGCCGGCAGCCATCGCTGCCTTCCCCGATTCGCCTCGCTCCCAGAGCCACTTCCGCTCTGGACCGCACCACCTCCACCACCTTGCAGGGGGGAGAGAGTGAGGAGGAGGGTGACAGAACGAGCTCAGAAGCGGCCCTCCGAATGGCATGGACTCGAGCCCCCCCCAGGAAGCGTGGAGAGTCTACCGACCAAGCTCCTCCTTTATCCCCCGCCTTCCGGTGGTTTCGAACCGACTTGGAAGCGCGTTTCGTTGCCATGGGGACGAACTCACTTTTCTTATTCCCCCGGCTCTTTGGGGAGGCTCCCCGAAAGCTGAATCCATTTTCGCTGCCTTTGCCATGGCCGAAGAAACTGGGCCTCGCGACCCTATTGGAGCCATCTTAGTGAAGGTGGTAAAAGGTCCCCTTACACCCCAACCCTGCCCCTCCCCCAACACCACCCGCCAGTCCTTAAGGACTTCTCTATGTAGTTTTCCACGTCCCAATACCCACCCGGGGATGCTTCCACTCGGAGCCGCACTTCCCGGTCTGGACAATCCCACCAGCACACGCATCCCCCCGCACGGCAACCAGAACCCTAGTCCACAGAACCCAACCAATTTTATTGGTTTAAGAATATTAAAAAACAAAATACTTAAGAGTGCTGTAGTTAAAGTTCAGAGCGCTATATAAAAGTATGTAAAAAAAAGTAGAGTATTACAAGCAGGGTTTGCTCATAATCATTTGGTATTGAGAGGGGAAAGGAAAAGAAAGAAAAAGGATTAATTTTTTTCTTTTCGATAATTGAGTAAAAAAAATTAAAAGATTAAAAAAATCTCTCCTTTTTCTAGGCTTTTACACCTCTCCCGCAGGTCCCTAGCTACCCACTTGAAAAGGGATGAGGGGTCTAGAGGGAAGGACAGCGTTAGAAACAGCATTGTACAAGGGGATAAAAGGGCTAAGAACCACTATGGTAGCAATGGTCTGCAACCAACAAGCACATTTTAAATGCTTATTATGTGCCAGGCACCGGGAATATAAAGACAAAAATAAAATAGCGTGTGCCCTTGAAGATCTTATATTCTCTGGTGGAAACTATATATAAACATATAAATAAAGTCAAAATAAATACAAAGTACTTTTGGAGGAGGGGGCGGGTTACTAGGAGGCATCATAACTTCTGGTCAATAATAGTAACAATAATAGCTAGCGTTTATATAGCACTTATTATTTGCCAGGCACTATCCTAGGTAGGCACTTTACAAATAATATCTAATTTGATCCTCATAACAACCTTGCCAGGTAGATGCAGTTATTATTCCCACTTTACAGTAAAAGAAACTTAAGTTTAAGTTACTTTAAAGAATTATCTTTAGTGGAAGTTATAGACTCTAATCATTCAGAAGTCCAACTCAGACTATACTGGTAGCAGCAATTAGAGTGCTTCAGTTATGGGAAAACTACAGTTACTCAGGCTAAATGAAGGGTCACTTTAGGGTAAGACCATTCAAGAAGAAATGAGTAACTCAAGGTCAGAGGAACTGTAGGATTTTAGAGTTGGAAATTTAGGATTTCTTAGTTTTGTTTTTTGTTTTTGTGGGTATAATAGACCCTTTTTTGGCATTCTGGTGAAGCCTAGAGATTCCTTTCTCAGAGTAACGTTTCCAGAACATAAAATAAAATGCATAAGATTATAAATTAAATCAATGGTATAAAAATGTAGTAATAAAAAAAAAATTTTTTTAAACCAAAGCTCATGGACCTCAAGCTAAAAACCACCATCTAACCCAACTCCTGGATTTGCAGATAAAGAAACTAAGGCCCAGAAAGATTTAGTGATTTGCCCAAAGTCACACAGCAAATTAGTGACAGACCTGGTAAAAGAACACAAGTCTTCTCGTTTTCCAATCTAGGATTTTATCCACTAAACTCTGTTGCCCAAATGTTAGCCTGCTGAACTGAAGTATTCAATAAACATTTTCTGAAATAAATTTGAGTGTAATAGATAGTGGTTGAACCTTGGAATCAAAAAGGCTTGGGTTAAAATTCTTTCTCTAATACATACTAGTTATGTGACCATGGTCAAATCATTTAGTTTCTCATCATCCCCAGCAATGCTCTTAAAATTAAGTTACAGATGACCGGTTGATCTTCAGTGGGGGGCATGTCCCATACACGGAGTTCCCTGCACCAATGAAATCACACAACACCAAAACAAAAGTAAAACAGTTCATCTTATCATGTGATATGTTTATGTTGTGAAGTGACCACAGACTTCCACATAACCTGATACTTGGCATATAGCATAGTACTGAATTTATGGATAGGGAGGATGTCTGTTCAAATCCTACCTCTGATACTTATTAGCCATGTGATTAAGGGCTTTACTTTTTTAAGCCTCAGTTTCCTCATCTGTAAAAAGAAGTAGTTAAACTAGACGGTTTCTAAGATTCCTTCCAACTCTAAATATCTTAGGATAACTAAGCATTTGAAATATCTAATGCTATTCTCAGAAATGCCACCCCGGATCTCCCTAAAACATGAACCCCTGATTGGCTTTTCTTAGGTATTATCAACCCACAACAAGATACCTCACAAGCAGTCATCTAGTCTGTACCTGATGACTTTCATTGAGAGGGAACCCACTACCTCCTGAGGCATCCCATTCTATTTCTGAATATTCTGATTGTTGGGAAATTTTTTTCTGATAATTCTAAATTTGCCCCTTTGCACTTACTATCAATTTCTTGGTTCTTCCCTCTGGGGATAAACAGAACATTTTATTCCCTCATCAACATGGCAGCCTTTTAAATACTTGACAAGAGTTTTGTCCTGCCAAATCTTCTCCAACTCCAACATCCCCATTTCTTTATCCACTCCTCAAATCATAGGGACTTAAAAGCCATTACCATTCTCATTGCCCTCCTTTGAATATGCTCTCCAGTTTATCAATGTCCTTCCAAAACTGAATACAGTATTCCAGATGTGGTCAGACCAGGGTAGAAGACAGACTCTAACCCCCATAATTCCTGGATGCTTCATCTCTCTTGATTTAGCCGCAAACCACATTAGCCTTTTTGGCTTCTACGTGACATTAATGACTCATGTTGAGCATGGAGTACACTAAGACCTTTGTATCTTTTATGGAACAATTACTATCTAATCATGCTTTTCCTCTCCTCCGTCCCCCCTCCCATTTTGTAGATTTTTAGAATGCAAATGTTAGTCTACATTTATTCTTCCTCAATTTCATGTCATTAGGACAGCAATGTTCTGGCCTTTTACAGGATCTTTTTTGGATCCTGACTCTATCGTCCAGTATATTCAATATCCCTGGTGTCCTATGCAAATTTGATAAACACTCCATCTTTGGCCTCAGAAAGTCTCTGACATATATATTAAGTAGCAAAACGACTGTACAGAGCTCTGAAGCACTCTACCAGAGCCACTTCCAAGTGAATAGCAAACAATTATCAACAATTACTTTTTTAATCCCAACATTTAACTCATTTTGCATCTAGCTATTTGTATTATCATCTAGTAGCCCATCTCTCTCTATCTCTCCACAGGAAGAGCGTGACATATTCTATTAAATACTTTCCTGAAATCTAGGTAACCTGTGTCTCTAGTATTAGTAACCCTGTCACAAAAAAAGAATTAAGGTTAGTCTGGCACAGGCAGTTCTTGATGAAGATATATTGGCTATTTATGATCACTGCTTTCTTTTCTACATATTAACTAAGCACTTCTTTAAAAATCCATTCTAGATTTTTTTTTCATGAATCCAAGTCAAGTTCACTGGCCTATAATTTGCTAACTTTATTCTCTTCCCTTGTTTTAGAAAATCAGGACTTTTAACCTTCTCTAATCGTGTGGTATTTCTCTCATTTTCCATGATCTTTCATATTTTGTTGACTAGATGATCTCTAAAGTCTCTTTGATTTCCAAAATTCCAGAATGCCTTAAAATGATTCAAGATTATACAATCAAACCTCATTAATTCTATTTCTACTAATCCAGATTTTGTGAAATTCAAATATAGGTTGAAAAGAAGTTTACTATTGTTTAACAAATCTTATATACACACATACATGTTTGTGTGTATATACTTATATACATATATATATATATATATACACAATACACACATATAATAAGTCAAAGGTACACGTAGAATTTTAAAGAACCATTTAAATTGCTTAAAAGAATAAAAAGCAGTTTTTGGTCATAAATAGAGAGCTGGTCTCAGAGTCAGGAAGGCCTGGGTTTGAGTCCTGGTGTTGGTTTGGCTGGGCAGGATCCTGCTACACCAATGAAATGACAATTCAAAATCACAAAGAAGTATACAGTTTTAAAATTCATTTAAGTGCAACACACTGCTTACAGAGCATTCTTTTCTTATTCATTAAAAACACTTTCCTATACAAATCTATGCTAGGCAATATTATTTTATATGCATTTGAGCTAATAATTTACTTGAAAGAAATAAAACTGCATTTCTTTTAAAAATTTCTACACTTCAAGTTTTTACTCATTTAAACAGGCCTCTCCAAATTAGTCTGAATTAGTAAGATTTTAATTTAGTTACAATGATAGCCCTTAAATATTGAGATCATTAAATAGCATAGTGAATGCTTGTGGTCTAATTGTGGAAAAACTGCTGGTTCATCCTTCTACTAAACTTTTCTCTGACTTTCAACAGACACTTTCCTGTGTTGATCCTGAGACATTTTGCTTTTGTTCTCATTAGATGTCCTTCCCTCAGATGTGCTTGTTCCATTCAGCTGTTAACTAGGAATCAGCACAACTGCAAAAGAATTACTTTATATTGAAATCAGTAGTTGACTTAAAGCAGTCCGAAGTGGTTTTTTCAGTATGTCGGAAACTATGATCTTAAAAAAGGGAAAATTGTAGGCTAAGGTTAACTATATATAAAGAATCGACTCTAGATGCATTTAGTTGTTGTTGTTGTCGTTTCAGTGACATCCTACTCTCTGTGACCCCATTTGGGGTTTTCTTGGCAAAGATACTGGACTGGTTTGCCATTTCCATCTCCACCTCTTTTTACAGATGAGGA